TCTTTATAGGGATTTAAAGCAAACCTCTCCCTTCTGAGGCGACCCGGGGAGAAGACCTATACCCAGCGTTGCCGCTTGTTTGTTGGGAATTTGCCTGCTGATATAACAGACGAAGACTTTAAAAGACTGTTTGCCAAATATGGGGAGCCGGGAGAGGTTTTTATCAACAAGGGGAAAGGCTTTGGATTCATTAAATTGGTAGGCTTTCATTCTGTACATCCACCCATTCAGTCCTTCCGAAATAGTCATTTGCGATTTGGTTTTTCTAAAACTGGATCTTAAAACTTCCCTCAGGAATCCAGAGCTCTTGCAGAAATTGCGAAGGCAGAACTGGATGATACCCCCATGAGGGGTCGACAGCTTCGTGTTCGGTTTGCCACACATGCTGCTGCTCTCTCAGTGCGTAATCTTTCACCCTATGTGTCCAACGAGTTGCTGGAGGAAGCTTTTTCCCAGTTCGGTCCGGTGGAAAGAGCTGTTGTGATTGTAGATGATCGAGGTAGATCAACAGGAAAAGGCATTGTTGAGTTTGCATCAAAGCCAGCTGCAAGGAAAGCCTTTGAACGGTGTACTGAAGGAGTGTTTTTGTTGACAACGTAAGTATTTTGCAGCTTAGTTTTTTTAGTTTTAAGCTGAATAAAGTTGTCAGCTACTAGTTCTTCAGATTGGAGGTTCTGATGCAGAAGTAAACCGAGTATTTTTTGTTCAGCACTCCTAGGCCAGTTATTGTGGAACCATTGGAACAACTGGATGATGAAGATGGTCTTCCAGAAAAGCTTGCTCAGAAGAACCCAATGTATCAAAAGTAGGCACTATCTTTTGGCTTCAAGCATATGTAGGTGATGTACATAGTATTGTCCTAGGCTTTAAAGGAGATTGAGTAGTTTTTCAGAAATGAGCTGTGAGCGTTGAGTAGTATTTTCAGTTCTTGTTGGTTTTTTGGTAGTGGTTTGGCTTCAGGTAATGTAATGTAGAGATCTTATCTGTTCAGCATATGCACTAAGCGTTACCAAAGCAATTTTCTACGTTGCATCACAAAGAAACAGTAAAGGTTTAAATAGCTGCTCAGTAACAGACAGTTCTGACATACATAGGAAATCAGACTTCAGCTGTTTGCTCATCCTGTTGAGAACTGCCATCTCACGGTGTATTTCCTATTGATGCTCTCATGGAGAACTCACACACAGATGTTTGTGATGTGAAATGAGGAATTAAGTAAAATTTTAACTCGTTCCATGATTAATAAAAATTATCTGCTTCCAGATGTGCCTTAGGAGGCTGAGCATAAAAGAATAGATAAGAGTCTTCCTAAATAGTAGGTTTAGGTTAGGGTACATATGCTAAACCTGTGTGTTGTAAGAATGCTGTGTTTTAAAAGAGAGTGCAGGGTAGAGATCCAGCCTGTCTTGTGTGAGAAAGTGTTCAGAATTAGTAGCTTTGATCCAAAACTACGAGCAGTTCAGAGGCAGTGTCTGAAAACATTGCAGATTACTGTGGTGTTCCTTAAATGTTAATGCTTTACGTTCCTAATGTGTGGAAAGCTTTTGAACTTCCCAAGTTTAGTTCCTTTAATTACTGAGTCTTTAACTCCAGTTTCTTTGTATGACAAAATGAATTGGTGGCCCTCAGGCAGTTTGAAAGCTGTTAAAGTGAAGATTATTACTTGCCTTTGACACGTAGTGCTTTGGGTAAGCTGGCTCTGAAAAACTCCATCTCTCCATATGCTGCTGTTTTGAGCAGCGCTATGTACTTGGGCAAAGGGCTGTCTTGTCTGTGGTTTTGGCACCTGACTGTTGCAGGCAAGGGAGTATCTAAGGAAGAAGATAAGATGAACATGCAGTAGAATTGCAAGCAGGAAGATTTGCCTGGGGGTGATGGTGCAGGAGTCTCTTATTGCTGTGGTAGTCACAGGGTTTATATGAAATGCTGCTGGGCTGTTACCAGCATCCTCACACAAGTCTTCTGTCACGTCACTCTGAGGTCGTATGTTCAGGGCTCCTTTGCTGTTCCCTGATAATCCTGCTATTCTGCATGTGATTTTTTTGTTGACCTTCAGATTCCAGGTTTACCCGGTCTGAATGAGCATCTTCCTTTCTGCATGGAAAGAGAGACTCCTCCCCGCTTTGCTCAGCCTGGCAGTTTTGAATTTGAATATTCCCAGAGGTGGAAATCTTTAGATGAAATGGAAAAGCAACAGAGAGAGCAAGTAGCAAAAAACATGAAAGATGCCAAGGACAAACTTGAAAGTGAGATGGAAGATGCTTATCATGAGCATCAGGCAAACCTTTTGCGTCAAGGTAATTGGCTGTCAATTCTAGCTGATCTCTTTGCTTTCAGTGCTGGATTAAATGGGTGGCTGGCTGGTGGTTTCATGAATAAATTCATGCTTCCTACTGCTAACTAGAGAATTTCAGGCTTAAAGAGCAGCTGATGGTTTTTCAGTTTGTGCTTAAATGAAGGGTTGTTAAAACTAGTGACACTCGGAACGTGGCTGGCTGCCTTCATGCTGCTGAGGGTGATCTCCCAAATCTGAGTGTAAATCTGACATGAGTTTGTGAAATAGCTGCTGACAGACTTCATTTCTGCAGACCTCATGAGGCGTCAGGAAGAGTTGAGACGTATGGAGGAACTCCATAATCAGGAAATGCAGAAACGCAAGGAAATTCAGCTGAGGTTGGTTTGGCTTTTGTGGGAGTTTGTTCAAAGTTACATTTGTTTGATTTTTTTTTTTTTCCCAATTACTTATCTGGAGGTTTTTATTTTTCAAGAAACACCATCGCTGCTTCACTTTGTGCATGAGAAATTGAACTGCAGTGTAAGTCTTTCCTCAAGACCTTGAGCATCATAAGAGTATCTTTTTTTGCTTAACTGTAATCACTTGGTGCCTTTTAAATTGCTGATGCAAGTGATGTTGATGAGTGAATGTGTCACACTCCTGGGTTTTAACAGTCTGCTTTGGGGTGATCAGGCAGGAGGAGGAGCGGCGCAGGCGAGAGGAGGAGATGATGATACGTCAGCGGGAGATGGAAGAACAGATGAGAAGACAGAGGGAAGAGAATTATAGTAGAATGGGTTACATGGATCCAGTAAGTAAAATCATGCTAGTTTTTTGCATATATTACGATGTTCAGAAATTTTTTGGATGTATTGTCAAGACTGATGCGTTTTGCTTCCTTTAGGTTAGATACCGTGTTGCCATTGGGTAGGTGGAGGGGTAGTAGTGGTTGTATGTGTGCTTTATCTCCTGAAAAGGTGCGGATTTCAGTTGGTTACCTGTGCTAAAAGTTGTTTCTTCTATGCAGAGGGAGAGAGACATGAGAATGGGTGGTGCCACCACAATGAACATGGGAGGTAAAGAATTTTTAAATGATTACTTTCTGTGGCTAACTCAGAAAGCGTCAGAATATGATTATGTATTTCTCTTCCTTAGATCCTTATGCTTCTGCAGCCCAGAAATTCCCACCTCTTGGAGGTGGTGGCGGCATAGGTTATGAAGCTAATCCAGGAGTTGGCCAAGCAGCCATGAGTGGTTCTATGATGGGAAGTGACATGGTAATGTATCCTGTGGTGGCGTTAGCTTAGCTCAAGGAAAATGTTGTGGTTGGGGATCGAGTTCTCTGCCAGTGTTCGGATGGTTGTGTTATTTCACTGTTCACTGCTGACTTTCTTGTCAGGTATTTTAACACGAAGACAAGTGTGGCAGTTTGTTAGATTAGTTCTTAACCATTATGGGAGCTTACACAGTCGGAAGTTGTTTGAAAGTGAATTCAAACGTGCTGTTCAGCGTATTTGCAATTGACTGTGACTTCATTGGACTTGGGAAATTCTGCGTCACTGTTGGGCTTGGAAGGATTTTTTATAAATTCTAGTGAATGACAAATTTCAGCATGGAAACATGTAATGTAGCTCTTCAGTAATTTCACCTTCTGTGTTAACGGACAAGAGAGATTTTTGTTCTTTCCAACGTGTAACACTGCATTTGTTTTGGCCCTTCCAAGCCTAGTTAGGATTGATGCATGTTGGTATGGATATGCTGTTGTTTCCACAGTCTGCGCTCACATCTGTTTAAGCAGCAGATGAACTTAAGTAATCACTGGTGAACAGCGTATCCCTTACTCTGTATGCTCATGTTTGCTATAGAAGAGCAGAAATGCTGGGGTTCAGCTTCAGGCATGTTCCAGTGATCCTTGACTGTAGCCATTTTGTGGTTCCTGTCTCACAAGGGAATGATAGCCCTTTCTTTTCCCGTGTTGAGCATGACTGACTAGGTAGTTTGATAAAGCTGCAGCATATCTCACCTTCCGAGGTATGTTTCCAAACTGTACTATTTTTGGCACACTAAATGTGTGACTGGGCTTTGAGCCTGCTTGGTGTTATCACACTGAAGCAATATGGATGTAGATTAAAGAAATGCTTAACGGGTAGGGTGGAAAACTGTGTTGGCTTAGGTGGCAATATTACTGTGCTTTCACCCTCCTGAAAGGGTGTACACTCTGTAGCACAAGCTGAACTAAATGATTTTTGGGTGGGTTTAGGCCTCTGGCTTCATGTTGTGAGCTACCATAGTAGCTTGTCAGGAATCTTCTGGTTTTTTGGGGGAACCATGTCTTTGGAATGGTAACTTTGCAGAGCATCAGTGATCCAGTAGACAGTGCTGTTGGCCTTAATGTATCTAACCTACTGATACTGAAGCAGATCCTAAGCTTCCCGTGAGCAGTTAGGCAGTCTGTGGTGAATGCTGTGTACAATCATGGTACAGGTGCATGCTGAACTTGTGTAACACTTGAAAACGGGCTATGGGCAAAAGGGGTGACAGTAAGATGGTTTAACTGCCTTGAGTTTCTTAGGATGGGGATCTCTGCCACACAATGCTGTCACAGTTACTGGGCCAATACCTTTTAAACAGAATTGGAGATAAGCTGCCATGAATTAGGCAGAAAGAACCTAGGTAATCTTTCTGAAATTCCTTTCTTGGAAGGGTTCAAACTGACTTTCAGAAGTCAAGAACTTGAGGGGTGAATTTTCAGTTGCAGATACTTTTTGTAACAACCAACCTACCACTGTTCTATACTGGGTAGTGGGAAAACTTGCCTGAAATGAAAGTTTAAAGCTATCTTTGAGTTTATAATTTGTCCATTCTATAGATTGAATGCTGATCACACCTACTCAGACAGTAACTAAATGAAATACATGCAACTATAGGCGCTAGTGAAAAATACCTGAAGCCTCTGCTTTATTGCAGGGCGATTTAGCTTTTACATCTTGGTGTGAAACCTTTCAGTGCTGTGAAGTTGTGAATTTTCCAAGAGCTTGTGGTGAAGGCGGGGTGGGAAGGGAGATACTGACTGGATGCACACAACCCTTTGTGCAGAGTTCTAACTGGAAACACTGGATAAATAAATAGCTCTTTGAACACGTTTGTGTATTCTCCAGCAGCAGTTCCGCAGTGTCCTTTGCTCGAGCATTGTGGTGGTTAGGTACAGCTAAATCACTGGTCACTAGCTTTTTTCACACTTTTGTTTTTCTTCTTGCAATCCAGTAGTGCTCACAGTCACTTTTGGTTACTGCCTAAGGCCTCTGCAGTTTAGTCAGCAGACCGTAGTCTTAACCCCATCTTGAAAAGCACATGGTCTCTATTGCAGCACATGCCATTAACTGGTGAGTAGGCATTCTGTTTACAATGACATTTTATGAATGTCAGCTCATACTTCAGTGAACTCAAGATACGTTCTCTGGCTAGGCTTATTCGGAAATGACAGTGATGGAATCTAAGCTTTTACTGCACTAAAGGTGAGAAGTTTGCAAGCTGTTTGCATTAACTTGATTGAAAATTGCTAGAGCTCATTTGGAAAAGTTGTTAATTCACATCTGCACTAATGCTTACATTTCTAGCACTGCAGGGAGGATCTGTTCTTTGTGACAGATGTATGAGAATGCATCAAGTGGGAACATACCTCAAGGCATGTATTACAATAAACTAATTTTTAAATTACCCTTTTTTCCTTTCTATGTTCCCGGTACCTGTGGATCGGCTCAATGGTGATTGTATCGACGAACCTTGACTACGGAACCTTCTAAAAATATATACTTAACACACATGGACATCAACTACATATAATGAACTGTTAATTCTGTTCCAATAGCGTCCTGAACGCTTTGGGCAGGGAGGTGCGGGGCCTGTGGGTGGCCAGGGTCCTAGAGGAATGGGGCCTGGAACACCAACAGGATATGGTAGAGGGAGAGAAGAATATGAAGGCCCAAACAAAAAGCCCCGATTTTAGATGTGACCTGTAGTTTCATTCCAGTTTGTTTTTTGTCTGTCTTGTTTAGACACCAACTTTTTAATTCTTGCATTTTAGTAAGAAAGCTACGTTTTTATGGATGTTAGAAAACTTACTGACCTAATATTTGTAAGTGGTCTGTTTGGGCGAGTACAATTTAATTATGTAATGCAGTGTTTCAAAACAAACTTAGCTGTTTTTTTGATGTATAACGTCCCTAACTTGATGGCAGTGTACCTTGTGCCACTGAATTCCCAAAGTGTACCAACTTTTTTTTACTGTGCTTCAAATAAATAGAAAACTAAATGTAGTAACTCTTATTGCCATTCGTGGTTAAACATAACGAGGCTAAACCCCACACCTTCTGCAGTAAACTGAGAGTCTTGAGTAGAGGTCAAACTAGACCAAGGTGTGGAACTGCAGGGAAGAGTGAGCTCTCTTCACAAAATGCCTCTATCCTAAGATTGGGTCAAATAGTAGCCTAACTTTGCAGTAGGTGCAGATCTTTTTTTGAGCATCAATTGTGCTGCAATAAGGAAGCAAATGGAAATCTTGCAAGTGCTGTAAGATGCTCTAATTTGAGCTACACTGCAAGCAGTGCAGTATGTAACGATGTTCCTATTTTAGCTATGGATAATGGGTGGTGGGATGGTAGCACTTAAACCACCTTGGCAGTTACTGCTTGGAATCTTGTAAAGACTTTAAGCAGAAGACTAGCAATGGTTATTTTAAACTAAATTGATAGAATGACTTGCATTGGCTGACTTCCTAACTAAAGGATTGTTAATGTGATATTTCTATGCTCTTAAGCTGTCTTGAGATTACAGGATCTGGCCTTGCTCCGTATTGTATACTTACCTGAAACTGCTTGGCAAAAAGACCAGAAGTGTTACTGTAGTGATGAAGGTTAACTTGCTTATGTCCTCATGGTAACTGAGTGGACTAATTTGCCTAGTTCAGAATACAATCATTTGTATTATGGGGACTGCAGGAACTGTTCTTAAATCGTGTAGCTGGTGGGCAAATCCTAAAAACCTGTATGTAAAATACAGAAATCAGCTTGCTTGCATGATGGTTATTGCTCTTATTATTGATGTTTGGAGATAATGCATCAAAAAGTAGTATCTGAATCTGGAGTTTGAGAGTTAATACTTCACAGTACGAATAAACTCCCTTTAAGGTTTTTTTTGTAGAAGATCTGATGAATTCATTAGCTTGCTGTTCATTTTATTAAGCCCCAGAGGAATTTCAGAGCAGTCTGGACTCATTGATAAGGTAGTTTCTTTGCTTATTATTACATTGTACCAGCTAAGCTGGGAACGTGGCTTCCCAGTGTAAAATACCTTGGTGTTAAGCAGGTTGACATATCCTGCATTGGCACGAAGTAGGTAACCTTAGTTTGGCTGTACCTTCACATGATCCCCCAACTACTGAGCATTCTGTGAGTAGCTTTAATATCTTCCCAAGATCTTTCCCATTCCTTGTGCTGAGCATTGGCTAATTCTAAATTCTATGCTAAATTTTCTCTGCAGTTAAAACTGGGTTTCAGATTGCAGTATTTTAGAGTGCAGGTGATCCCTCTTGAAGTACTTGCTGCAAGTGCTGTTACTCCTTAACTGAAGAAATAGCCTGTTGGGAATTGTTGATCCCAGGTAACACAGGCTTGGAATATCAAGCGCGCTGAAGAGTGCCTCAGCTTGTTTGGTGAATGCTTCTTACTTTCCCAGAAAAGTTTGGGGGTTGATAACATGCTACAACAATGAATTAACTGCTCTTCAGGAAATTCCCAATTGGCAGTTCCTAAACTGCAGAGCAAGTATTTGGGAGTACTTGTATTGGATACTTAGTTTAAAAATCAGCAGGACCGATGCAATTTGCTTTGTTGAAGTAGTGTTAACCAATGCCTATGTTTTGTGGAGGGTGTTCGTGGGACACCCACAAAAGGTGAAGGTGTCTGAGCTGGGGAATTCTGAACATAAACATTAAATTAATTTTTTCAGTTTATTTTTCAGATTACATGTCATTCTTTATTAAAGAGATGCTGGTGCATATCCTAAAGTATGTTCTTTTGTAGTTCTGTAACTTGGAAGAGTGAAGGATGCTGATGTCCTTGTACCTTACAGAGGTTGTCTTTTGGTACCCCTGTTTTGTACGTAAGCTACCGTTGCTAGGTGTTAAAGATAGCTGAGTTGCAAAACCATGATGAGTGAGTATTGAAAGATTTGGCAGTTTTCAAAACATCTGAAAGTTGCATTAAATCTAGCTTTGTTGTAGCTGCATAAGCAGAACTTCTAAAACAAGCTCTGCTTTGAGTTGCATGTATTAAAAAGGCATACAATTAACTAGCCAACTTCTTTTTTCAAGCCCTTTTTTTTAAGGTGGTGTCTTAAAAGCTGGCAGACATGTCAACTTTAAAATCTGCTAAATGTGGGAGGTGAGAAAGTTATGTTCCTTTGATCTGTTCCTATGAGGCTTTGGACTTTTTTCATAAAATAAGATTTATATAATTGAATCTTTAAAACCATTTAGAAAAGTGCTTCGTTGGCCAGACCTGGTTTTGGACAGTCTGGATGACGTAACACATTTTTGGACTGGACTCAGAGGACATTGGCTGTTGCAATTTAGCTTGCTTAATCAAATTTGTGAGCCCATTTTGACACTTAGATCTCTAAAAACTGCAGCATGTAGAAACTGGTATCGTTATGCAGAGATCTTCCCACTTTGATCAGAAGTGAATACAGAATAATCTTCTGGTGTAGACACATGACACTAATCATTTATACGGCTGATGAGAAACTGAAACTGCTTTTGAGATTTTGTGGTATTTTTGTGGTAGAAAAATTCTTGGCTTCTCCTTGGCAACCATTTACTGTGGCAGCAAGTTTTTGCTGGAGTTTTGAGACTGCAATTTACACTTGTAACTAGTGGCCTGCTACATAACTGCACTTAGCCAGCATTTCTGCAGTTCATAACTGTGAGGAACGTAGTACCACAAATGGCAATGGACATTAGGACCCGGATGTAGTATTCCTGCTTGCTCCAAGATTCTCATTGCCGACTGCGTCCAGGTAGGTAACAAGCAATATAATATAACTTGGTGACTTTCTATGTAATCTTATACTGTGGGTATTCTGACATCACACTTCTGACTGTGGAATTACAGTGCAGCACTCTTCATACCTGTATGTTAAGCTTGCATCAAAGCTCTGCGTGGTTTTCGGTTTTAAGCTTTGTCTTGTTCAGAGTCGATAAGCAACTTACTGTGATTCTTAGATAAGTATTTTCAGACCCGATTCCTTTGTACATACGACTCGGCTTGTGTGGATTTTTCTTAGTTCTGATGTAACGAAGATACTCTTGGATGAGATTTGTGGGGAAGAGGGAACGTGATCTTAAACTCACTTACTTAGTCAACTGGGTGCTCTCCGTGCCTAGGAAAGGACTGTTTAAACTTCCTGCAGTGACAGCATGGCCCATCTACAGTGCATCCCTTTGTAGAGTCTTGGCTCATAGGAAATGCCTTAGTAACCACTGCTTTAGCCTTGTGTGCACTACGTGATAGTCACTTTCAACTTGCTAAGAGTTAGCTTTGAGACTGATTTTTGGAGCATTTTTGAGGACATACAAGTAAGTGCTTGAATGATGGTCGCTGTGAGTAGCTTAGAGAGCTTATTGGACATCAGTTGTCTTTTTAATCTTTGACAAACATAATACATTCCTCTACCTTTAACTGACAATGATGAGATTCTGTATTTCTGCCTTGTAGAGCCATCTTGGTAGTGAACTGCTGAATTTCATTTTCATCATTCTTGGGGATGTAATTCTAAACTCTTAATTACTAGAAACACTGAATTTAGTGCTCCAGGATTTTAATATGCTTACGTTTCCAGACATCCAGACATGCTGATCTCCAGCTCTTTTGCATTAGCTCTCGAACCTGAATTTCAAGGTCCCTTGTTTCAACACATGATCTAGCTCTTGTCTGATGTTCAGTTTATTTCAGAGGTGGTGTAACGTCGTTTTCCTGCTTGTTCTGCAAAGTTCTGCCTTGCATACTTGTTTCTGGTATTATTGTCACATTTGGACCCTTCTGTGTTACCTTCCAGGCAAGACTCTTGCTGCTTGAAGAGGGAATCTGCTGGCCAGTCTTGCCCTCTGCTGTAGCTATCCTTTCATGTTCCATTGAAAGCTTGAAGTAGCAGCTGCACCTTAAGATTATAACAACAGGTCTTTGGTTACACCACGGCGAGTGTAGCCCAACTCCAGCTAGTCAAGCAGTGACACCACTTGTCACAAAGTCAGTTTGGCTTTTTGTGATGGCTTACTCTTACCTGTGACTAGAATTGAGAAGCGAAACTGATGGCAGTATGTCTACTGTCCTGTAGCAAAACTGAATTACTGATCCTTAAACCAGTGCTCAGATCTGCCTAGGGTTTTTTTCCCAGTGTGCTCTGGATACTTGACTTAACGGAGGGGTTATTGGCACATCTGCCTCGTCCTGCGTACTTGACCTGGCAGGTTTTTGACACTCTTAGAGCAAGTGGTTTGTGACTGAAACATGGGTCTCATACCAGCTCTGACTGTCTGCAGTAATGAAACTTGGTGTGGTAGTTAACTTAAAAGCAAATAGTCATGTCTGCTCTAAGTCAGTCTGTAACAAGTGGGTACCAGAAATGACATTAAAGTGCTTGCATTGTGTTTCATCTGGGTTTTATCTGTGTGTGAAATACACTTTTTCTCAAAAGCTTACCTGAAGCTCAGAAGTGTGGTGTCAGAATACATTTGCGTACTGCTAGGCCCTCAGATCCAGGTACTGGTGCTGTCAGGAGAGAGCACAGCGTGTATGGGGGCTTCACTGTAACATTAAGCATACAAAGTGTTGATTTGCTTGCAGTTTTCCCCCATAGCTAAACACTGAGGCCTGTGAGTAGTTTTAGGACTCGAGCAGTAATGGGGTTGCATGTCTCTGTTAATCATTGCCAGCTGCAGTGACATGATCAGGAAGGCCAGTGTTTCATTCCATTATGTTCAATGAGGCTAAGCATGTTGGAAAGGATGCATAAAAAGTATGCTGTTGTGGGTAATTCCTTGGCTTCTTCCACTACTAGCAAGTTTGGAATCAACTAATTAGCTTCAGATTTTCTTTCCTCTCCATACCAGCTAGTGGGGCTGTTAAATAGCTGCTTACTGGAAAAGGAAAAAAAGGGAGGATTGGCCTTCTCCCACCTCTGTCATTGCTGCTAGGTAATGATTGACACGTTAGGACTTGGCTGTGCAATCCCGCAGTGGTCTGTGAATACCCCATC